TGGAATCCCCATACCCATAGAAGTTCAAGATTCGGTAGAGGTTCTAGTGCTTCAAACACTGTTTCTTCCGACTCTTTTTCCTCCAACGTCGGTGCACGTTGTCACTTTCCCAGTGGCAAATTCAAGTGAAGAAGATTTTCCTTTTCGGCAAGATTTGCTTTCTTTGCATCCATAAGGTTTTCAACTCTCTCCAAATGCCGAATAGTAAGCTTACCGCCCAGCTTCAAGCACTGCAATTCTTCAAGGCGATTGCCTCTGTTACGACCCACTATGAACTGACTCAATGTTCTTAGGCTAGTAAGTTCTCCAATTTTAGATGGCATCTCCGTTAACGATTCACAATCTTCCAAAAATAGATGACGGAGATTGATCAAGTCCCTCGTCTTCTTCGGTAAAGCCTCGAGCTTTTCGCAGTCATCCAAATTCAAAACTTGCAAATTCCAGAGACGACATAGTGAGTCGGGTAGGGTACGGATTTGAGTTCCAGACAAGTTCAACTGTCGCAGATGTTTCAAATTGCCTACCGCAGAGGACAATTGGTTTATCCTTGTCCCACTTGCATCCAGTATTCTCAAACGGAAAAAGTTGTTTAAAACGAAAGACATGTCCATTTCCGATTGATTACTCTTCGGGAATGCAACAAACTTTTTACCCAAATTTACCTCGCGGATTTTGTTGTGATCAGATGCGCTTCTAACGTTCGCCCTTTGGACTTGTACTCCGGGAATTTTGTTCTCCATGATTGATTGGGCGAGATCACGAACAAGATCGTGCATAATCAAAGTCTTTTCATCTGCATTTCGACTGTCATATTGCAAAAGGGATCTCAAAACTAGCTCATCACATATATTATTGCCAACATCCTCCATTTCCAAAGCTCCCTTTGGTGAAATATATCCGTGCGCCATCCACATAAAGATCAGTTCTCCTTTCTCAATACGAGATTCCCTCGGAAATACGGCACAATAAGCAAAACATTGTCTCAATGCCAAAGGAAGATGATGATAACTCAATCTCAAGGCTGGCAGTATCCGAGTTTCGGGTAATTCCCATATTTCGCTTTCTTTCACATTAATCCATTCCGTCTCTTCTCTCTTAAACCGCAACAGACCTCCGAGTGCCTTAGCTGCCACAGGAACACCACCACACTTGTTCACAATCTGCTTCCCAATGGCTTCCAGGTTTGGATATTCCTCTTTCTCTTGTCCGAATGCACGTTCTTTGAACAGCATCCAGCATTGCTCGTCAGATAATCGTGACAAGTGATGAGATGGAAGTGTTCCCATTAAATCAGCAACTTCTTTGAGGCGTGTGGTGACAATAATCGAACTACCAGTTGAGCCACACGCGAGAACATTTTTCAATTCCGACCACTTTTCTTGATTTTCGTTCCAAACATCGTCCAGCACAAGTAAGTACTTCTTGTGATTTAGAAACTCTCGGAGTCGGTGCTGTAAAGTATCCAAGTTTGCTAAATCTGAAGCACTTTCAGCGGCAGACTCAATCATTGCTTTCAACAAAGTCTTGACATCAAAATTGTCGGACACACAAACCCAAATGCATTTGTCAAAATGTTCAACGACCCGTTGATCGTTGTAGACTAATCGAGCAAGGGTAGTCTTGCCAAGGCCTCCAACACCAATTATGGGGAGGATGGTAATTTCTTGATTGTCGTTGACCTGGTTGACTAACATGTCAACAATCTTCTCTGCATCTTCTTCCCTACCATAAACAACACGAGACGCATTCAAAATCGAACCATTCTCAAGCGAGGCAGCAACTCGATCGACTTATCGACAGCCATATCGCGCAAATGGAACTTCGAACACTCTGCAGCAACCGCATCCAGTTTCTCCGTGACCTGCTTCATCCTTGTTCCGATTTTGCGCCGAAAGAGAATTTTCTTCAAGCTATAGCGACTGGATTTGCTGTTTTGGTGCTTCGATATAGAGAATTGTGTAGCACACTCATCCAAGATGTCATCAATCTCATATGTAAGATCACTTAGCTTGATTAGCCAATTCTGTATGGCCTCGATTTGAAGTCGATTCATTTCGGCATCTTTGAGCACGGATTGAATGGTGGTGAGTGTGCTGAAGAGATTATTCATCTCTTCATCCACACCAACAATCAATCCAATCTCACCTTTGATTAATGAGCTCAGATTTTCAAGAACTATTTGAAGGAACGCCTCTGCCATTACTCAACTAATTGAAATTCACACCAACTTTGATAAAATATAATAAAATAGTTATTGCTAATTGTTTGGAATATGAGATATTGATGGGTAATTTCTGTGGACGTTTCTTATCAGCTTCTACTAATAAATGGGTAAATTACGATCACTTTCCTGAGGTAAAGTGTAATTATAAAAAAAACCCTTTTTGTTTGAGAAATTAGATTCAGATCCTTGTAGTTTTTAAATTTCTTACACCCACCCCCAAACGAAAGGATGTCAATGTAAGAAATCTACAAATGTTAGGGGGATGGATGTAATTGTGGAGGAATTAGGGGTTTTTTAGTAAATAGACCTTACCTCGGGGTGTTTTGTAATTTACCATTTTACATACTAATAATTGTGTCGGCAGCACACATAATTATAATTGGGTGAGGTCAGTTTTCTGTTTGACAGTATTTGTGTATTTTTTATTTATCTTTTCTTGTATGTAAATGACATAATTGCCCCTGATTATTGTATTACCCAACAATTTTGCCCCCAGATTTTATCTCGGTTTGCACTTTGGCCCTTAAACTAAAAACATTTGCACGGTGCCCCCAAACTCCATTATTTGAAGCACCGATTAGGAAATATAGACCTTTTTCGGCAAAATTGTTGTGATTTTGATTGGAAAATGCAAAAAAAAATTTAACTTTACATGCGAATTTTGATTTTATTTTTGTGTCTGCATAAGGTGGTGTGTTGTGTTACTTAGAACAGAAGAAGATGAAGTAAAAAACAGAGAGAGATGGGGTTTTCAAACCATAGATTATCATTTATTTATCACATGTTGCGGAATAAAACACATGTTTTCAAACAAATTAAATCAAAATACGAAAAGAATATAATGGCACAAATTTGTATTAGTTGATGATGTTTTCTTGTAATCGAATATGGGGCCTGTTTGTGAAATTAGTCAAAGCAAAAAAGAGAACCACTTATCAGAGAACAAAGAGATAGTTGCAGAAATACTGTAATTAATATATAAACTTGATAAAAGAAAAGAGATTTTTACTAGAGCTACATACCAAAGAAGGAGAATCCATTAACCAATGTAGAGGTGGGGAATATGTGCTATCTTGTGCCAGTCCTCTCCCTTTTCTCTCTCACATCTCCTTTCCATTTCCGGGCATCCACGCACTTCCACATATTCGAGCTTTGTCATTCCCTGGATACTAGCTGGAAGTGATGCTAACTTTGGGCACTCATAAATTTTCAGATAATGAAGAGATGTCATATCTCCCAACCACTCCGGCAGTGAACTCAGCTCTGGAAGGCTGTATAGGAGTAGAGATTGGAGTGAGGATGAGAGGTGGTTCAATGCTTTAGGAACACAAACCATCTTTGGAAGATCACATAGGACTACTTTTTTAAGGCTGTGGAGGTGTTTAATCCCCTCCTCCGGCAGCTCTACTAGTTCTCGGCAGCTATATATTTCTAGTTCCTCTAGAGAAGTGAGGTGTCGCAACCACCCTTCAGGCAAACACCTCGGTGTATCACATTCGTTTATACGTAAATGTGTAAGAGATATCAAGGCTCGCATCACTTGTTCTGGAAGAGACAGATCATAACTTGCTTTTTCAATCGTCAACTTCTTGAGATTAGTCAGGCTTTGCAGCATCTCAACTGAGAAACATGTCGTCATATTCTGCTTAAAGTCCATGGAAAGATTACTAAGAGCGTTCAGTTCCACCTTAGACAATGAAGCCGTAGTTAATGAATTGCAATCTCGAATGTTTAGCTCCTTAAGATTTGGGAATGCTTTAGCTGATCCGATCATCACTTGCTCTTTTAACAATCCTTTCATTTTGGGGAGAGTTGTTAAATACAGTTTTTCCAGAGATGGGAACTGTTGTACGCTCGTTAATCGATTTCCACTTTGATCTTCAATAATGTACTCCACCCGAGCCAAATTCTCTAACCTCAAGGACTTAAGATGAGGTAGCTCTCCCAGTACTTGTGGAAGATGCAAACAGTTGTCACAACCTTTTATATAAATTTCAACTAGTTTTGCCAGAGTTGAATTTGACATCCAAACTGGAAAATGCCTACCCCTGAATCTTTTTATTTCTAACTTTTCGAGATGTGGGTGAGGTTCAAGTGCTGCCAACACCTTTTCATCTCTCTCAATGTCTTCTTCCCCTGATGATTTTGATGCAGTAGTATTCTCATGTTCCCACTCTAAATACAAATGACGAAGATTTTCTTTTTTAGCAAGATTTGCTTTCTTTGCATCCATAGGGTTTTCCACTCTCTCAAGATGACGAATAGTAAGATTGCCACCCAGCTTCAAGCACTGCAGTTCTTCAAGTTGATTACCTGTATTACGACCCACTATGAACACACTTAATGTTCTAAGGCTAGTAAGTTCTCCAATTTTAGATGGCATCTCCTTTAATGATCTACAACCTTCCAAAAATAGATGGCGAAGATTAATCAAGCACCTCATCTTCTTCGGTAACGCCTCAAGCCCTCGACAGTAGTCCAAATTCAAGACTTGCAAATTCCAGAGACTACATATTGAGTCTGGTAGGGTACGGATTTCAGCTCCAGACAAATTCAATTGTCGCAAATGTTTCAAATTGCCTACTACACAAGGCAAACTTTCTATCCCTACCCAACTTGCATCTAATATTCTCAAACGCAAAAAGTTCTTTAAGACGAGAGGCATGTCCATCTCTGATTGATTACTAGTTCTAGGAAAGAGAATAAACTTTTTTCGTAAATTCACCTGGCGGATTTTGCTGTTAGACGATGCACTTCTGAAGTTTGTCCTTTGGACTTGTGATCCAGGAACTTTGTTCTCCATAATTGACTGGGCGAGATCATGAACAAGATCATGCATAATGAGAGTTGGTTTATTTTTATTCGGAACGTATTGCAATAGAGATCTCAAAACGAGATCATCGCATATTTGATTGCCAACATCCTCTATTTCAAGTACTCCCTTTGATGAAATACATCCATGCGCCATCCACATAAAGATCAATTTTTTTTTCTTAATTTGAGAATCCTTGGGAAAGACTGCACAATAAGCAAAACACTGCCTCAATGATAAAGGAAGATGATGATAACTCAACTTCAAGGCTGGCAGTATCGGAGTTTCTTCTTGAGGCAATTCCCATATTTCACTTTCTTTAACATAATTCCACTCTTTCTCTGTCCTCTTAAACCGCAACAGACCTCCGAGCGCCTTAGCAGCCAGAGGAACACCGGCACACTTGCTCACAATATGCTTCCCAATGGCTTCCAGGTTTGGATATTCCTCTTTTTCTTGCCCGAATGCTCGTTCACGCATCAAAATCCAGCAATTCTCGTCCGACAACCCCTTTAAGTAATGTGGTGGAAGTGTTCCCATTATATCAGCAACTTTTTTGAGGCGTGTGGTGACGATAATCGAACAACCAGTTCGGCCACATGCCAAAACATTTCTTAATTCAGACCACTTCTCCTGATCGTCGTTCCAAACATCGTCCAATACAAGCAAGTACATCTTGTTGTTCAGCAACTCCCATAGGCCGCGCTGCAAAGCATCCAAGTGCAATAAGTCAGGAGCACTTCCAGCCCCGGATTCAATCATGGCTTTCACCAAAGTCTTCGAATCAAAATTGTCAGACACACAAACCCAAATTAGTTTGTCGAAATGTTCAACGACCCTTGGATCGTTGTAGACTAATTGAGCAAGGGTGGTCTTGCCAAGGCCTCCAACACCAATTATGGGCAGGATGGTAATTTCTTGATTGTCGTTGACCTGGTTGACCAAGATGTCAACAATCTTCTCTGCATCTGCTTCCCTCCCATAAATGTGACGAGAGTCGTTCAAAACGGAACCAGTCTCACGTGTGGCAGAAAACTCGATCGGCCTCTCTATAGCCATCTCGCGCAAATGGAACTTCGAACGCTCCGCAGCAACCGCGTCAAGTTTTGCAGTGACCTGCTTCATCCTTCTTCCAATTTTATGTCGGAAGAGAAGTTTCTTCACGCTATAGCGACTGGATTTGCTGTTTTTGTGCTCCAATTTCGAGAGTTCTGTAGCACACTCGTCCAAGATGTCATCAATCTCATACGTAAGATCTTTGAGCTTGATCAGCCAGTTCTGTATGGATCTGCTTTGAAGTTGCTTCATCTCGGCATCTTCGAGCACGGATTGAATGGTGGTGAGTGTGCTGAAGAGATTATTCATCTCTTCATCCACACCAACAATCAATCCAATCTCACCTTTGATTAATGAGCTCAGATTTTCAAGAACTATTTGAAGGAACGCCTCTGCCATTACTCAACTATTAACTGATGTAAATTGCAATCTATTTGCTATGTTATTTATAAATTTCAGCCTATGAAGAAGAATCTAAAGACCCAATAGATTTGTCCATTTTCTCCGGTAACCTTCGCCGTGACACTCGTGATAAGGGCCGCGACTGTTGGACATTATCTGATGGAAACAACTTCAGAGTTCGAAGCAAACATTTCTGTACGTTATGACAAATCCAAGGTAACTAATAGTTGTTGGCTTATTTCAGATATATATTCTGATTGCATTTCAAGCAGCCTAAATTTGCTCAATAATCTTATGGACGTTGTGCTTCCTGTTTTTGACGGTTCCTGCAGGTAAACATCTCATGGATCTCGTCGCTGTAGACTGGTTCAAAGATACAAAAAGAATGGATCATGTTGTCAGAAGAAGTGGATGTGCGGCTCAGGTAAATTCCATTGGGCTCACTTTTCTCGTTTCTGTTTTCAAATATATCAATATTATTTTAATTGTTTCATATAACTAAGGATACTCATTAATTACACTTTCTGTTTCTTTTTTAGGTTGCAGCAGATAAAGGACTTTTCTCTATTGTTTTTAATCTGCAAGTGAGTTGATTACATTACAGCTTTTCATGATAGTTAATTTATCAGGTGGTGTTATGAAGATTAATCAATTTTGACTCTTCTAGGTACCTGGATCAACACACTACAGCATGGTCTCTCTTGCAGTGGTTTGTTGATGGGGATGATGAGTTCCGTAATAGTAGACTGAAACTTATCCCATCAGTACCGAAGGTACCTTTCTTCTTATCTCTCCCCTTTTGAATAGAAATGTATTGCCCTTTTTATTGTTCTTTGTAGTCAAGTTTCAGATTCGACGGTTTATATTTTTATGAATATGTAGGGTTCTTGGATTGTACGTCAGAGTGTGGGCAGCACCCCTTGTTTATTAGGGAAGGCAGTTGATTGCAACTATATTCGTGGTCCCACATACTTGGAAGTAAGAACTATTTGTACTTCTTTTGATATATACTTAATTATGCAGCAAATTAAGAGTTCGTTAAAGGTCTAATTATTTCGATTATTGGTGTTTCTTGTTTTTTTTTTTCTGTAGGTAGATGTGGATATTGGTTCCTCAACTGTGGCAAATGGAGTCCTGGGACTCGTTGTTGGGGTTATTACGTCACTTGTGGTGGACATGGCTTTTCTTGTACAGGTATTTAAAATTCTCAACCGATGTATTTGTCTAATCTATAATCTCCAGCAAACTAATATACGTTTGCATAATGGATGAACAATTTTGTTTAGATTATATTATAGTGCTTACGAAATGGTGTAAATTGTTGTTGGTGCTCAGGCTAATGCGACCGACGAGTTGCCGGAGCGGCTAATTGGTGCGGTGAGAGTTTCTCATATAGAATTATCATCTGCTATTGTGCCGGTGCTTGAATCTGATTCTTCAGACACGCTCAAAACATAAACGGGTATCAGTTAGTTATAGAGGCAACATACTATTTCAATCATATACTGCTCTGCATTTATTCAATATCTTCAACTCTGCTGATGTAGAGAGAGAAATATGTTTGAGAAATATGTTCTCTCTTTTTTCGTAATTCATGACTATTCATTGATTGTTTGAATGATATACACATTACAGTTTGAAAATCGTTACATCAAGTTTAATTTGACGACATTGTAAATAATTTACTTGGCTGAATTTTTCAACTCACAACTGTCTACATATCAACTCACATCAATGCCAGACAGAAGTAAAAAACAAAAAGAATTACAGCATTTAACAATTAGGGAATTAGGGAATCCATTCACCAATTTGCAGGTGTGGAATGTGTGCAATCTTGTGCCAATCCTCCCCCTTTTCTCTCTCACATCTCCTTTCCAGTTCCGGGCATTCCTGCACTGACAGATACCGGAGCTTCGTCATTCCTCGTATACTATCTGGAATCGATGCTATCTTCAAACAGTCACGAATACTCAGATCTTCAAGGCATCTCAAAATGCCCAACCAGCCCGGCAGTGAACTCAGCTGAGTCAGCCCGAACAGGTACAAATATTGAAGCGAATCCGAGACGTGTTGCAACGCTTTCGGTACACACACCATATTCGGAAGATTGCTTAAGATGACAGTTTTAAGGCAGTTATTCAGGTTTTTAATCTCCTCAGGCAGCTCTACAACTTCCGGGCATCCATATATTCCGAGTTCCACCAGAGCAGTGAAATGAACGAACCAAACTCGAGGCAGTGAATTGCAATTAACTAAATACAAATTTGTAAGAGATTTCAGTGCACTTAGCCCTTGTTCTGGCAGAGAGAGTTCGTCCGCATTGCAAATATTCAGTGTCTTGAGATTGGTCAGGCTTTGCAGTGTCTCGGTTGTAACAGCGCATGTCGTCTCGACAGTAGTACTCTCCTCAAAGTACACGTCGAGCTTGGTAAGATTTTCCAGGTTCGACAATAAAGCCAGATTTGAGCTAGTGCATTTCAATTTCTTCAGCTTTTTGAGAGATGACGGCACTACTTTTAATGAAGAGCAATCTTCAATGCGTAGCTCCTCCAGATTCGAGAATGCTTCGACTGATTTCGTCGTCACATGTTGTTTTAAAAACCCTTTGAGATTCGGGAGGGACCATAAATACAGTGTTTTCAGAGAAGGGAACTGTCGTACGCTTATTAAGGGATCCTCGATAATGTACTCCACCTCCTCCGCAGTCGTTACCCACAAGTATTTAAGATGTGGTAGCTCTCCCAGCTGTGGAAGATGCAAAAAGTTCTTACAGCTTGATATATGAACATCGACTAATTTCTCCAGAGTCGAATTCGACATCCAATCTGGAAAATGCCTACCGTTGAATCCCCATACCCATAGAATTTCAAGATTTCGGTGAGGTTCTAGTGCTTCAAACACTTTTTCTTCCGACTCTTTTTCCTCCAACGTCGGTGCATCGTTGTCACTTTCCCATTGCAAATTCAAGTGAAGAAGATTTTCCTTTTCGGCAAGATTTGCTTTCTTTGCATCCATAAGGTTTTCAACTCTCTCCAAATGCCGAATAGTAAGCTTACCGCCCAGCTTCAAGCACTGCAATTCTTCAAGGCGATTGCCTCTGTTACGACCCACTATGAACTGACTCAATGTTCTGAGGCTAGTAAGTTCTCCAATTTTAGATGGCATCTCCGTTAACGATTCACAATCTTCCAAAAATAGATGTCGGAGATTGACTAAGTACCTCGTCTTCTTCGGTAAAGCCTCGAGCTTTTCGCAGTCATCCAAATTCAAAACTTGCAAATTCCACAAACTACATATTGAGTAGGGTAGGGTACGGATTTGAGTTCCAGACAAGTTCAATTGTCGCAGATGTTTCAAATTGCCTACCGCAGAAGACAATTGGTTTATCCTTGTCCCACTTGCATCCAATATTCTCAAACGGAAAAAGTTGTTTAAAACGAAAGACATATCCATTTCTGATTGATTACCCTTCGGGAATGCCACAAACTGTTGCGCAAAGCGGAAGCGAAAACATAAACGAGAACACTCTCACACAAATACGAAATCAAACGAGACACGGAATTTACATGGTTCGGAGAAATAAACTCCTACTCCACGGGTGGCAGCCAAGTATTTCACTCAAATACTACAAGAGGATTACAAAGTGTTTCTCTCAAGATTTCCTCACAAGTGTCTCTCAATTATTCTCTCTAATTTTCTGCACACTTCTACAAACACTATACAAGTCTATTTATAGGTACAACAATGGATGAATCTAGATGAAGTTGGAACACCAACCATCAATCTTGGGAGCATCAATCATCACTTTGACTAGGGTGTTTGAATGGGAGAGAAATAGACACATTCTAGAAAACTTTAGCCAATTCCAACAATCTCCACCTTGGCGAAAGTTCTCATAATCCTCATCACCGGCTTTGGCTGCCACCAAGTGCACCGGCTATCCAATGTTGATCAAGTCCAAGCAATGGATCAACTTATCTCGAGTAACCACTTTCGTTAACATGTCGGCGGGATTTTCGGCGGTTCCAATTTTCAGCAATCGAACATCACCTTCTTCAATAATTTCTCGAACAAAGTGAAAACGAATGGCAGTGTGCTTGGTTCGGGCATGATTAACTTGATTCTTCGACAAACAAATAGCGCTTTGGCTGTCACAAAACATCTCAATGTGTTTTTGAGCAATTCCCAAATCATTCACCAAACCATGCATCCAAATAGCTTCCTTGAAAGCTTCAGTAACCGCCATGTATTCCGCCTCGGTAGTGGATAATGCAACGGTGGATTGAAGAGTCGAACGCCAACAAACGGGTCCACCGGCCATAGTGAACACATATCCAGTAGTGGATCGCCGTTTGTCTAAATCACCTGCATAATCCGAATCCACATAACCGACCACAAGTTTATCAAGCTCGAGATTTTCTTTTCTTTGGAATTTTATACCAACATCGATAGTTCCACGAAGATATCGAAGTATCCACTTCACAGCTTGCCAATGTCCCTTTCCCGGATCGTGCATGTATCGGCTAACCATACTAACCGCATGCGAAAGATCGGGCCTCGTACAAACCATCGCGTACATCAAAGCTCCAACAACATTAGCATAAGGGACATTTTTCATGTATCTTCGTTCTTCATTAGAATTAGGGCATAAAGAAGCACTTAACTTGAAATGAGAAGCGAGCGGAGTACTTACAGGTTTAGTCGAGCCATTGTTATCAAATCGCTGCAAAATTTTCCTCAAATATTGAGATTGCGATAACCAAATTGTACCTTTGCTTCGATCCCTCTTGATTTCCATTCCAAGTATTCGTCGAGCTTCGCCCAAATCTTTCATTTCGAACTCCTTTTTGAGCTGATCCTTCAATTTATCTATCTCCACCTTGCTCTTGGATGCAATTAACATGTCATCCACATACAAGAGCAAATAAATGAAGGAACCATTTTGGATTTTTCGGAAGTACACACAATGATCAAATTGGCTGCGAGTGTACTTGTGTTTCACCATAAACTGGTCAAAACGCTTATACCACTGTCGAGGAGACTGCTTGAGGCCGTACAAGGATTTTCGAAGTTTACAAGCCCTCTTCTTTCCCTGCAACTCGAAATCCATCGGGTTGAGACATGTAGATCTCTTCGTCCAAGTCTCCGTGTAAAAAAGCCGTTTTGACGTCAAGTTGGTAAAGCTCAAGGTCGAATTGAGCTACCAACGCCAACAATATTCGAATAGACGAATGCTTTACAACGGGAGAAAAAATCTCGTTGTAGTCGATCCCCTCTTTTTGAGCATATCCTTTGGCCACCAAGCGAGCTTTGAATCGAATTCCGGGCGTATCGTCTTTCTTTGCAAACACCCATTTGCAGCCGATAGCTCTCTTTCCCTTAGGAAGTTGTACCAACTCCCAAGTTTGATTCTTTTTCAAAGACTGCATTTCTTCGTTCATGGCCTCCTTCCATTTCGAGCTTTCGGAACCTTGAATAGCATCTTTGTAGCTATTCGGAACACCGTCGACTACCGGAAGAGCAAATGCAACCATATCGTCAAATCGAGCTAGCTTTCGAATTTCTCTCCGAGGTCTATTCCTTGCAATAAATTCAGCTACTTCGGGCTCTTGAATCTCTTCCTCGGGCCTTTGCTCCACCTGCTCGAAATTCTCCTCCACCTGTTTGGAGTTTTCTTCATCTTCGATTTCGTTTTGG